GGACGGACCATTTCCAAAAAGGGTGTTTCCAGTGGTCGACATGGCCTTCAGGCCACTCGTTTGGCCGTCCTGAGAACTCTCAGCGTTGAAGATACAGGCAGCTTTTTGGACATCGCTATTGGATGCCTGAAAGGAGCCCGTGTCGTTGACGACTCCGGTTTCCGCACCAACCTGTTTGACCGAGAAATTCTTCCCGTTCGCAAGCAGACTGGTTTCATGAACATGATGCTGCCGCTTATCAACGAACTTGGGCAGCATGTAGGTCCCTATGTTGAAAAACTGCTCAACCCTGTTCTGTACTGTCTCATCTTTGCCTGCCGACGGCTCAAGGAGTCAACTACCGTCGAGTCAGATGAAGAAGCGGAGGAAGCGAACGAGGAATCTCAGGAGTCTCTGCTCAAGACCATTCGGACTGTCGGTGTCAAGTGTCTCATTGCACTGTTCCGCAATGCCCAAGACTTCAACTGGACACCATACTCCGAACCCATTGTGAACGAGGTCGTTGCTCCCAGGATCGAGAAGCTCCCCGTTGAGACGGCCCAGTCAATCTCAAGCATCATGCAGCTTGTCTCGACTTGGTCTCAGCTGCCAAAGGCAGCACTCTTCATCTCGATCAACGACCAGATCCTGCCCAAGGTTATCGAGTGCGTGTCGATGCCCAAGGCGAAGGAAAACGTCAAGATTTTCGCCCTCAGCATCATCCGCAACCTCATCAAGCTAGCAGCGGCACCAGCTGTCGAATCCGAGTTCAATGAGCTCATCCGTACTGAGCTTCTGGATGCAAACATGGAGCTGATGTTGAAGACCGTCACTACCACGCTGGAGACGCAAACCATGAGCAATGAACTGCTCGAGTCTTGCATTGAGACCATCGTCGAGCTTTCTCCGCTTGTTGAGACCTCGGCAAACGTGCGTGAGACACTCAAGATCGCAACTTTCCTCCTCAACCAGCCGCCGAGACGAGTCAACCCCAGAGCCAAGGGCAAGATTCTCCTCATTCTGGAGCGATTCATCACCATCCTTAGCTCTGAGGAAGCGGAAGAGAAGACTGCTGATATTGCCATCTTCGAGACCCTGTCTTCCCTCTTTAGCTACTTCAAAGACAGGGACAACAGGCAGTCTTTGGCCCGAGTCCTCACAGTTTTGGCCGAGAAGGATACTACCCTTCAGGAGATTGCCGAAATCTGCCGTGACCTCAATGCCTTCGCACCGAACCGCATCGACGAGCCAGACTACGACAAGCGCCTCGCCGCCTTCAACCGAATCACCAATAAGGAAACACCTTTCACTGTCAAGCAGTGGCTTCCTCTGTTGCACAACTTGATTTACTACATTCGCTCCGACGAGGAGTATGGTATCCTGGCATCGAACTCTGCAGACTCCCTGCGCAAATTCGTCAGAGAGGTTGCGGCCTGCTCAGACGAGACATCCAAGAGCGGCTTCGAAGCCCACCTGAAGACTATTCTGTTGCCTTCCATCTACACCGGAGCTCGCGAGGAGTCTGCCATCGTCAGGAGAGAGTACTTGAGAGTCTTTGGCTACATTCTTTCGCAAATGCCAACCTGGGAGCCTGTTGCGGATATGAAGGGACTCTTGGTCAATGATATGGAAGAGGAGACGTCTGAGTTGCCCTTCTTTTTCAACATTCTCAGTCCTGCGACAGCACGCCAGCTGGAAGCCATCAAGATGCTGAACTCTGTCAACGACACCTCGGAGTTTGGCAGCCAGAATTTGAGCCAGTTCTTCATCCCTCTTCTCGAGCACTTCATCTTTGGCCGTGCTGAAGGTAGCGACGACCAGGGCTTGGGTGCCGAGGCGACCAGCACGATCGGCAACTTGGCTCAGTCGTTGGACTGGAAGCATTACCGTGTCATTCTGCAGAGGTACATCAGCTACGTCGAGTCCAAGCCCAACAACCAGAAGCAGGTGATTCGACTGCTTGCCAAGTTCTGCGATGCTCTCGTTCTCGCAGTCGAACAGAAGGGCGCCGAGGCGATGCAGATTGATGATGCAGAAACCTCCACACCGGCCAGCAAGAGACTTGTCCTCACGACTCCCACGCAAGAAAAGCTCAGCAAGGACGTCAATAATCTCTTCCTTCCCCCTCTGGTCAAGCATATCCACGAGAAGGATGAGTCCGAGGTCAGTTACCGTGTACCCGTCGGTGTCATCATCGTCAAGCTTCTCAAGCTTTTGCCGTCCGAAGAAATGGGCCAGAAGCTTGCTGGTGTTCTGACCGATATCTGTCACATCCTACGCAGTAAATCCTGGGATGCTCGTGAGATGGCCAGAGACACACTTGTGCAAATCGCATCGGTCCTCGGCCCTACCTACTTTGGCTTCATCCTTAAGGAATTGCGCGGCGCTCTCAAGCGAGGTTACCAACTTCACGTCATGTCTTATACCCTACACTCGATGCTCCTCAAGGTCATTCCTCAGTTCCAGCAGGGTGATCTCGACTACACTCTCCGGGCCATTGTTGCGATCATCATTGACGACATCTTTGGCGCTACCGGTCAAGAAAAGGATGCCGAAGGTTACATCAGTGAGATGAAGGAAGTCAAGGCAAGCAAGAGTCAGGATTCCATGGAGTTGATTGCCAAGTCGGCCTCCATCAGCCAGCTTGTCGTGCTCGTCCACCCTCTGCAGTCTCTCCTCATGGAGAAGGTGGACCTCAAGTTGGTCCGCAAGATTGACACTCTGCTGGCAAGAATCACCGCCGGTCTCATGCAGAACCCGGCCGCAGAGAGCCGTGATACTCTCGTCTTCTGCTACGAGGTTATTCAAGAAGTTTACAAGAGCAAGAAGCCAGAGGTGCAGCCCAAGATCGACTTCCGCCTGAAGAAGTACCTCTACCAGAAGGGCGTGAAGAAGGACAACTCTGGCACCGCTGGGAAATACACCTTCAAGCTCGTCAAGTTCACCTTTGACATCCTCCGGTCGGTATGGAAGAAGTACGAAAGCCTGCGTACTGGCGCGAACATTGCTGGCTTTGTGCCCATCCTCGGAGACGCCATCGTCGGCGAGGAGGATGACGTCAAGGTCGCGGCCTTCAAGCTTCTCACTGTGCTTGTCAAGGTGCCTTTCAACAATAACGAGGACATCCAACTCTTCAAAGTAGCAGTCAAGGAGGCAACGAAGAGCATCTCCATGTCAACCTCGACTACAACCGACCTGTCGCAGGCGGCTCTGAAGCTGCTTTCGGTCGTCCTCCGCGAGCGTAAGGATATCCCCGTCAAGGACGCAGCCATCGACATGCTCCTCGGCAAGCTCAAGGACGACCTCACAGAGACCCTCTACCGTCACGTCACCTTCAACTTTGTGCGCTCTGTTCTCGAGCGCAAGATCGAGACGGCAGTCGTCTACGATACCCTCGACTACGTCGGCACCGTCATGATCACGAACGACGACAAGGATACGCGTGATCTGGCGAGAGGCGCGTTCTTCCAGTTCCTCAAGGACTACCCGCAGAGAAAGGCCCGATGGGTGAAGCAGCTCAACTTCGTTGTCGCCAACCTGACGTACGACCGCGAAGGCGGCCGCTTGTCCGTCATGGAGGTCGTTCACCTGCTTCTCATGAAGTCTGCGGACGACTTCGTGCAGGAGGTCATTTCCACATGCTTCTTGCCCCTCGTCATGGTGCTTGCCAACGACGACAGCGAGAAGTGCTGTCTGGCTGCTGGGGAACTGGTCAAGGAGATGTTCCGCAAGACCGATAAGGAGAGAACGCAGAACTTCATGACGCTGCTTCGATCATGGGTTGAGCAGGAGGATAATCAAGCGGTGACAAAGCTTTCGCTGCAAGCTTTCGGTTTCTTCTTCGAAGCCAAGGAGCCCTCGTCCAAGCACAAGAAGGAGCTGGAGTTGGTTCTCGCCAAGATTGGAGAGATTGTTGGTACAGGCGATATCCGCGTTGCCGACGAAGACCTTGTCAACACGGTTCTACGCGACCTTCAGGTGCTGACGGAGAAGTACCCAGCAAGACTCTTGTCTACCGAGTCCAAGGAACTCTGGAGCGATGTCCGCAGCTGCCTCGTACACCCCGAGAACTCAGTCAAGCTTAGCGCCACCAAGGTACTGAGCACATTCCTGGCGGACTATGCTGGCAAGCCAAGCAAAGCAGGCGAAGTACTCCAAGGATCTCATGGTCTGAACCTTGAGCTCGAGGACTTGGAGGAGCTCGTGAGGTTGACGCTGTACGCCCTGAGAACACCAGAGATCGACGACGCGCTTGCCGAGGAGATCAAGCAGATCTTGATCTTCCTCGGCCCCCGTCTGCCCGTCAAGGTGCAGACCGTGCCCGAAGCAGATACTCTCGGCGACCGCGACGAAGCCGAGGCAGAAGAGGACAGAATCGAGGAGCACCGCAAGGATCTGCAGTACCTCTTCTGGAAGCTCTCGTCCATCCTGCGCAAGGACGTCCGGCCCAAGTCGACCGCCATCACGCCCAAGACGGTCGCCATGGAGGTGTTGGAGACGATCTGCCGCCGCGTTCCCCAGGACCACCTCGAACCCTCGTTCAAGACGATCCTCTACCCCCTGCAGAATCTCACGGACCCCAACATCCCCGCGCCCTACTCGACGGACGAGCTCTTCAAGACCAGGCTCGAGGCGCTTAAGACGAGGGCGCAGATCCTCATGGACTCGCTGCAGAAGAAGTTTGGCACGGCCGAGTACACCAAACAACTGCTGTCCATCAGGGAGGAGGTGCGCAACAGGAGACAGCAGAGGTCGAGCAAGCGCAAGATTGAGGCGATTGCGCAGCCGGAGAAGTACGGCCGGGACAAGAGGAAGAAGACGGAGAAGAAGAAGGAGAGGAAGAAGGTCAGGGGCCAGGAGCACAAGCAGCAGAGGCAGGCGTACAAGGGGTGGTAATCATCGTCAAAAAAGTTTGCATGGGCTGGCGTTTCTGGAAGGGGGTTAAAAAGAAAGGGTGTTCAAGACGGCTTTTTAGAAGGGTTGTATTTATATAGTACAGGGGCTGACCATTGCCCGTTCATGTGTGAGATCTATTCTGTTGTTACATTGTGTCCCGCCTTTTTTGTGTTCCCATGAGTGTCGATGGGTATCCGGAACGCCTTTATATGCAGTCATCCAATCCATTGGCAGAACGAGGCCTCGACTGCCCTCATCGAGTCTGCCATACATATTGTACAGATTTTACAGTCGTTTCCCAAAGCCATCAAGCAGATCCATCCTTCTTGGACTCCGCAGCTTGAGCATCAGCATCGGCACCATCAGCAGCAGCAGCGCTCTCGTCGGGGTAAAACTCGATATCGCCATCCTCGCCCAGCGTGCCCCTCTTGACGAGCCTGCCCTTCTCGCGCATCAGGTCCTCGACGGTGACCTTGCGATCGCCAAAGATGCCCAGGTGGTCGCTGATGATGTGGCGGTTGCGGCACGAGGGGCAGGTGATGAGGACGGAGCCGTGGTGGTAGCCCTGCTTGGAGACCTTGTGCCGGGAGCGGGTGTCGCACGGCACGCAGGTGAAGTCGAGCTGGTAGTGCGGCGAGGTCTCCATGCGCATCTGGGCGGGCGTCTTCGCCTCGGCCTCGCGCGCTGCTCTGGGCTTCGGGACTGTGTGGGCGAAGCGCGCGGCGATTGTGGGTTGCAGGGGAGTTGGTGGTCTTTGTTGGGTTTGAAGGGCTGAGAGGATTGGGCTGTTGCGTTTGAAGGGCGAGGCGCCTGGGCGTGCTTGTCGCAGCGCAGGCGCGAATTTCGTGAATGCTGAACGCGAGGCCATTTTGATGTGTCGTCTGCGTTTTCGAAGGGAGGTATATTGGTGGTGGTGGTGATGGCTTTGCGCTGGTGTGTGGTGGAAGCCTATGGTGTAGAAGTTTGTGGGAGAAGAGCTAGAGCTTGACTGAGCTGTTCTCTAAGTGGACTGGGAATGCCGTCATTTTTTTCTGGAGTGTCACTGCTGCTCTTTAATTTTTTTCCCCTGTAAAGAAAACGATGGAAACGACCGCCACTTGTGGCGCAGGCGGGCTGTCTAGAGCGTCAATCCAAATGAACCAATTAGAGCGCTGTGAGGCGCAAGGATAGAAGACTTAATTGATTGGATCCAACTGCCCGGTCGCTCCTTCCGCCTCGCGTGTGGGAAGCGCGGACCATTCCGGCCTCGGGGCTCCGCAGCCTTGCCCTGCTGTGGCTTTCGCTGAACTTGCGACTTACATCCCGAGATTGTTTCCTTCCTCGAGATGCTTTGTATTAAATTCCCCGACTCCTGCCGCAGAAACCGCAGTCCTTGACGCGGTCAGCTTCTTCTGCAATAGCCAGGCTGTCTTCTTCTTCTTCTTCTTCTTCTGCCTTTCACGGCTTTTTCACTTCTATTTCTTACGAAGCGTTGCAGCCTGGCTCCTCTTTTTATTCAGCATCCCTCAGTTGCCCGCCACACTTTCTGACGAGAGCTACCCCGCCGCCACCGACTCAGGTTTCCCACGATAGCTCTCTCGACCTGAAACGACCAACTAACCACGACCGAATTTCGCAGCGATAGTACAGATACGACTCGAGGAAAAATACAGATACATACACGATGATTTCTGGCAGAGGTGGAGGGGGTACGGCCATGCGGGCCGGTCGCATTCGGCCCCCGCGCCGCCCTGGACGAGTAAGTCTTCCCAACTCCAGCAGTCAACTATTGTCGTTAGCTGCAATGCATGTCTTTTGCCTCTTGTGCCTTATGTGGTGATGGCTTCAGCGCCGCCAAAAATGTTATGTCTATTATGACTGTGATCCTTGCATGCTTGTCAATGCTCATCACGCACACATCATGTTCATACTGTTCAGGAACCGTCGAGCTGCGAGGCGGCCGCTGAGATACTTTGGATGACCTCTAGCAAGACTTTCAGAATGTAAACTAACTCGTTAATAGTTGACATCCGGCATTGACACGAGCGATTTCGAGCAGTGCTGGGATACACTGAAGCAAGCCCTGACCGACATTCACAACCAAAACTGCAGCACACTCTCATTCGAGCAGCTCTACCGAGCATCTTACAAGATAGTCCTGAAGAAAAAGGGCGAGATGCTCTACGACCGCGTCAAGCAATTCGAAGAGCAGTACTTTTCCGAACACGTCATTCCCGATATCGAAAAGCTGGTCACGGCCAACCTCGTTAGTGCTGCAATGGGCGGTGCGGCTACTTCGGTCAACGAACGACGCAAGATGGGCGAGCACTTCCTGAGCGGTGTCAGAAAATCATGGGAACATCACAACACGTCAATGAACATGACGGCTGATATCTTGATGTACCTCGACCGCGGCTACACACAGGACGCTCGTCGGCCGTCCATCTACACCGCCACGATTGGCCTGTTCCGCGACCATATTCTACGAGCGTCACTGAACTCAGGAGGTCAATATACCGTATTCGATATCCTCAACTCGGTCATCCTCGATCACGTCAACATGGAGCGTGATGGGGACACCATCGATCGGCATTTGTTGCGCAACATTATAAGGATGCTCGATTCTCTCTACGAGTCGGACGAGGAGCAAGAAGCAGAGAAGTTGTACCTGACGGTATTTGAGCCCGCTTACCTTGACTCCGAACGAACGTACTACAAGCGCGAGTGTGAGCGCTTGCTTCGGGAGGCTGACGCCGGCGCCTGGCTGCGGCACACTCAGCGCCGACTACAAGAAGAAAACGATCGATGCGACACTACTATCCATTATGAGACGAGAGAGAGATCCATCAAGGTCGTTGAGGAAGAGTTGATATCGGCGCATCTGGACGACTTTTTGAACCTTGAAGGAAGTGGGCTCAAGTCCATGGTCAATTATGATCGTGAGGAGGAGCTCACAATTCTCTACCAATTGGTATCAAGGGTCGATGTCAAAAAGGCGTCGCTCAAAAAGATTTTGTCCACACGGGTGGTTGAATTGGGACTCGAGATTGAGCAAATGCTCAAGGAGACGAATTTCTCTGCAGCGTCTGCGCCAGCCGATGGAGAAGAAAATGAGGGCGGGGAGAAGGCCAAGGCGCTGAGCTCATCGGCTCAGCAGACGGCCGCGGCGATCAAGTGGGTTGACGACGTGCTCAAGCTCAAGGACAAGTTCGACAATCTGTGGAAAAAGTGCTTCCAAGAGGATTTGATTATCCAAACCTCGCTCACAAAGAGCTTTTCCGATTTTATCAACATGTTTACCAAGAGCTCCGAATACGTATCGCTCTTCATTGACGATAACCTTCGACGCGGCATTCGCGGCAAGACTGAGACCGAAACCGAGGCGGTGTTGGAGAAGGCCATTACTGTGATCCGGTATCTCTCAGACAAGGATCTCTTCGAGCGCTACTACCAGAAGCACCTGGCCAAGCGTCTTCTCAACAATAAATCGGAAAGTCATGATGTTGAAAAGTCAATGATTTCTCGAATGAAGCAAGAGTTGGGCAACCAATTCACGGCCAAGTTCGAGGGAATGTTCAGAGACATGGAATCGTCTGCCGAGCTGACTTCAGGCTATCGCGACCATATTAGGGGACTGGGCGATGTGTCTCGCAAGCAGATCGAGCTGGCTGTTAACATTTTGACCACCAACTCATGGCCTCCCGAGATCATGGGTCGCACGTCACAGTTTTCTGAAAGCGGTGGCTGCATCTTCCCCGACGATATCAAGCGCCTTCAAGAGAGCTTACTCAAATACTACCTCACCAACCGTAGCGGCCGCAAGCTGACTTGGCTCGGGTCCACCGGTAGCGCGGACGTTCGGTGCACTTTCCCCGCGATTCCAGGAGGCAAGGGACCCCTGGCGCGAGAGCGAAAGTATGAGATCAACGTGCCGACGTATGGCATGGTGGTGCTGTTGCTATTCAACGAGCTCGAGGAGGGCGAAGAGCTTTCGCTTGAGGAAATCCAAGCCAAGACCAATATCCCGATGTCAGATCTTGCGAGAACTCTAACTTCTTTGTCCATCGTTCCCAAGGCCAGAGTGCTCGCCAAGGAACCCGCAACCAAGGGCATCAAGGCCGGCGACAAGTTCAAGTTCAACGCCTCTTTCGTCAGCAAGACTGTCCGCATCAAGGCACCCATCATCAATGCTACCAGCAAGGTCGAGGGCGACGACGAACGGAAGGCAACCGAAGAGAAGAACAACCAGACTCGAGCCCACGTTATCGATGCCGCCCTTGTCCGCATCATGAAGTACGTTACCCACCACTTGATGTCCTGTCTCTTGGCTAAACTAATCCAACCATAGGCAACGCAAGGAGCTTGGCCACTCGCAGCTCATTACAGAGGTCATTGATCAACTTAGCGGTCGCTTCAAGCCCGAGATTAGTCTTATCAAAAAGCGAATCGAGGATTTGATTGTGCGAGAGTATCTCGAGCGTGTAGAGGATGCCTCGACGCCGACGTATCGCTACCTCGCTTAACAAGATGAAAGCCCTCCACCGGCCGCCTGTGGTGCGGTACAAGACGATGGACACGATTTTCATGAAACAATGATGTTAGAAGGGCATTTATGGCTGCATAGGGAGGGTTTAAGGGGTTTCTTAAAAATCAGGCATGGCGTTTCCAGGTGGCTCGCTTGAGAAATATGCACATTATTCGTCCGGAACACGGATTTGTTCCGGACGAATTTAGGGACGGGAGAGAGGTATTCCCTATGTGGTGATTCTGGGATACCGGGGATTTCGGCCTTTGGGTTGTCCAGACGAACTCGGTTTCGTTGACGCCACTCTTCATTGAAGGCAATTGAGTTTTCAGGTCACTTGACTCCCCGATGCCTACTCCAAGGGGATTTGATCTGGAATCGAATGTACATATTTTGCTTCCTTTGCATGTACAGAATTCTAGGGTTACTTAACATGAATGGTCACAACACGGCTTCCTCCTAATATATGCACGCCATTGGACTCTACGTGGACTCTACGCACTCTTTCCTACGTCTGTCTTCAACTGTGCTCAGAGAAGGATGGGATCAACTGGATCGTCTCCGGGATGTATAGTATGTGTACAGCCCTTTCGAGTACGAGGCGTACCTGGCTTGTCACTCGAATAATGGGGGATCCCTTCGATCGGTAAAATGGGGATCGATATTTCCGGAAGGGAATCGAGTCCACTTACCCGGGACGGATACCTCGCCATGCGGGTGTTATTTTGATCTAATGGATGGCCGCAGACGTAAATCCGTACCAACAGCAGCAGAAGAGAAGCAGGGATATAGAAATGGGAGAGGTCGTAATGGCACCCCTTGCACTCAACTCACCTCTCGACTTCCAACACTTGAAACTACATAGAGAAGAAAGCAAACCGCAGGAAGTTGGGGATTCAGTATCCTGATCATGGGATAATGAGCGCAGTAGGGATACATTACATATCCATAAAGGCGAATGGTGTATATTCGCCAAGGAATTGCCATTGAAGCCCCGTAGAAGCAGGGCAATTCCCTCTCTTCCCGACGTCCCAGAAGCTGCAGGTTATCTCTCACACGCACACACGCTCTCACACATTCTCTTGTATCCCCTCGCCAATCATGGACAGCAGAGCGTACCTTGGCCATGCATCAAGATGGAGACGAGTAAATCCATGGGGGGGACGCAGGACGCCGCCCCGATGCAGTTTGAATTGAATTGTATTCAACCCAGATTTCGCAGACTGTAGCTGAGCACAGCACCACTCACTCACTCACTCACTCACACATAACCGGGGCGCGCCCCTACTTTCCATACATCAGGCCACCACACACACACACACACACACACACCCACATGGCCCCCAATCCTGCAGGCCGTTTTCATCCCCCCTTCCTACCTTGGGTTCCTGCTACCGGTGCTCCATCACAAAGTGAGAAGACCTTTGTAACAATTCAATTTGGCAATGACAGCTCATTCTCGAGAGAGAACAAGTAGAGTTTTCTACACACGTGTACGGTGTGGGAGATAGACAAGCGGTCTTCTCCGGGAAACTTTGAGCGCGCATATCTCTTGACGAAAAAGCTTTCTACTCCGTAGGTTCGTGTGTGGAGTTTTCCTACGGATACGATGCACGGGATTCCGGGGGGTTTGATCGGGAGCGTTGACCAGCTTGCGATCGGCGCCGAACGGGGTCAAGTGCAGACTGGTAGCTCCTAGACGCTAGTAGATGCTTCGCAGAGTTAAACGAGCAACTCTACGAAAACGAGGCGATGCCGAAGGGATGGATGGAATGATGAGACGAGACGAGATGAACAGCGGGGTCCCGTCTCGTCGGAAACTTTTTCGTAAGAGGGCAAGAAAAAAAAATGGTGCAAGAATCATCCGGTTTACTGCCTTTCGCCTACCTTACGAACAAAGTGGAATTCTGCCCGGGTCAATGATCGACAATGGTGGTCCCTTCCCATCTGACGGCATCTAGGTTTTTTCATCATTGGGTTTAGTACCTATCCCAGGAAGAAGGCGGGCAGAAAGGGAAAAAAAAAAATCCCAATCGTGTCATGATTCCTAATAGAGTGCCAGCAATGGCATGAAGAAAGGGGAAAAGAAGGGCCGCCAGAATTGTCTACCCAGACGGAGCAAAAATCTGTCCTAGAAGATGAATGGGGAATCAAGTTACTGACAACAAGCCCAGTAGAGGCGATAATGCCAGAGGGCTTAAAACGAACTCGAAGAAATGAGCATACTCCCGCAGTTCCCAGAAAACCGTAACCCAATCTTAGTACTTCCCGTCCACCCTCAATCGAACAGAATAGGACCAGGCCCAAACCAGGTCTGGGAACGTGTAAAAAGAAACGCCAGTTCCTCCATCCCCGGAAGATAACTTTTTAATGCGATGAAGAAAGAAAAACTCCGATTTTAATAACCTGTGATCCCCCTTGGCGTAGCGACGCGATGCAAATGGCGATGATGGGGGATGGGATGCGATGATCGATCCGGTGAGACACAAAAGACGATGCTGACGCCGCGATGCGTCTTTCACATGTTATGCTGCTTCTCGCGAAACTCGCGCCGTATGTCTTCCACCTTGGACCCGTCCCGCGGACATGACCATCCGCTCTCCTCGATCTTGACCCTGTCAAGGCATTTGGAACACCGCCACCACTTGGGATAGATCTTGCGCTCCTGCAGCCACGCGACCGTCATCTCAAACGTCTTTGCGCTCACGTCCTCCTTGTGGACGTCGGTAAGGTGGATGCGCAACCGGTCCTTGCGGTTGAACGGTTCGTTCTTGCGGTTGCATGCTGGGTAGTCGCAGAGGAAGACCCCGGCGGTGCCGTCCTTGTTGCTGATGCTGTTGTTGCCCGCGCCGTTTACGCTGTTATTCCTGTTCCCTTGCGCCGCCGCCGCTGTCGCCGTCCCTGTCGCCGTCGCCGCTCCTGCGCCCGCGGCTTTGCCCTTAGCCTTGCTCGTGCCAGCTGGCGGTTTCTTGGTTGTGATTTTGGGACTTGGGTTGCTGGTGCTTGTCGCGGGCGTGATATCTTTTAGGGAGAGCGCGGGCGAAGGCGCCGTGGTTTGGCTATCGACATGGGCCTGTTTGTAATGCTTGTCGAGGTCGACTTTCCGTTTGAATGGCTTCGAAGGACATGCTGCCGATAGACAGGTCCATTCGATATCTTGGACTTTTTGTATGGGCGATTTGCTCGTCGCGATGCGTGGTACTACGTTGGGGAGCTCTTCTGAGGGTGAATGCTGTTGTTGCAATTGCCAGAACCCGCCATCGTCGGTCAATATGTAGTTGTACTTTGAGCAGTCAAAGTTGGGATACGGTAACTCGGCCCTTTATGGTTTGGTCGCGAGAAAGGGTCAGCATTGAGAAAAGAGCTATGAAAGAAAGGTCGCGCATGTTTTCAATTGCCGGGTGAGAAGATGTAGGGAGCTCTCATGGATACTCTCCCACTGGATGTAAATGGGGAGAAAAAAAAGAGCGGCAGATGTGCTGTGCTGTTGTCATCAAATTGGAACTCACCACGGCTCGATGGTGGACATGTTTGTGCTGCCTTTGCTCACGGCGGCGTGCGGTCGTTTTGCGGCTGTTGGAGGGGCCATGATGAACGTGGTTTCTTTGCCCGAGGATATAAATCAGCGTTGTGTCTCTTGCTCTCTCCGTAATCCTAGCATTGCGAATCTGTCCTCTCCTCTCTCTCATCCTGCCGCGCCTCGTATGGCCAATTTCCCGTGTTTCGTAGCAGCCCTACAATCGATCCAGACGTCGGCAATCGAGATAATGCAAACAAAAAGAAGGAAAAGTCAAGAGCAATCAATTGAAGCCAGGGAACGCAGAAAAAGGGAGTGAGAACAAACCTTCGGGCTTGGCTAGAGACATAATAGGCCGCAGGTGCGCGGCGGAAGAAAGGTGGGATACGGGTAGTTCGGTACGGCGATAGAGAGAAAGAGCAATCGTCGTCCGTGTCAGGTGAGACTCAGACGGATCACGGAGCCGTCATGGGAAAGGCAGACAGATGAACGGACGGAAAGACTGGGATGGGTTGGGATTTGGTTTTGGCGTGCCGTTGTAGTTGGTGATGATGGTGAAGGAGGGAAGAAGTTGGACGTAGGGATCATTTCATACCGGGCCTCCAAACCCCCGACGGGAAAGGATGAAAATAGTGAGTTTGCGAACAGGACGGAAGGTCTTTAATGCTCGGTTGTTTGTTCGTTCCTTCCTTCCTTTGGGGACCAGGAGATGAATATTGCTTTTCTCCTCTCCTCTCCTTCCCTCCCCTCCCACCTCCCTCCCAGGGCAAGCCGCAACACAACACACCACAGCAAACCAACCAGCTCGAAACCCGGGCGAACCAACCAACCCAAAGGGAAGAACCAACTTGGTATCTACCTACAATGGTCAAAAGGAAAATGAGAAGGGAAAAAAATGAGCAAGAGAGGCAAAGCAGGAGTGGCAGCAGCAACAGCAACAGCAACAACAGCTGTAGCAGCAGGAGCATGAGGATCAATTGGGCCAATTCCAAGGGACCAAAGAGACTAGGTAGGCCGAGCAAGGTCCCAGGTTGGTTCAGGTACGGCGGCCGTTCGTACGGCACAGCTAAAAGGTACTTTCGCTTATTTGGGGGGGTGGTGACTGTGACTGCAAATGCTCCTGCGACTGCTACTGCAAGATTGCTTTAGAGGTGCGTTGAGAAAAGGTACCATATCTGCTCTGGGTGATCCGTAAGAGCAGGGTAATACGGGTAGTCAAGCCAAGGTATCCGTAAGGTAAGGTAGGGGGCATCATGTAGGTAGCAGCAACATCGACAGCAGTAGGAACACTTTGAACAAGTTACAACGGCCAACAGCAACCAGGACAGCAACAGCAGCTCATGCGACAGCGACACAACTGCTACAAAAGGTCATGGTACGTATCCTGTTCGTAGCAACACATCTGGTGAGAGTGGCGGGGTTTAAAACGCTGTTTGCCCAATCCCCGGGAAGAACAGTTCGCCCATTTCGTTCTCGAGCAGAAGGGGGGGAGTGTCTCTTGAGACTTGTCCTTGGATTCTTGGATTCCTTTGGGGCGCCTTGGGCGAGAGGAGGGGTGTGGTAAAGGGGGTGTCAGGATGTCTGGGTGTGGCTCCTAGCCTCCCACACCAAGTGACTTGGCGAGAGTGAGGGATGAGATGTGATGGAACTGCGGCGGCGGCGGCAGCAGCAGCAGCAGCAGTAGCAGGAGCAATCACGGCATGTAGCGTGCGTTGGATGAGCGGGCGAGCCTGCATCTGTCTCGTCTTGCTGCTGGACTATAGCCGTAAAGGTGAGGTATGCGTCCCTATGCTAAGGCAGGGTACGGAGTATGATAGAGGCCCTAGGGGTGTATCTACATGTGAGTGTGAGTGTGAGTGTGAGTGTGAGTGAGTGAGTGTGTGTGCTGCTCCGGGATGAGAATAGATTTGATAAATGGTAATAAATAAAAAGTTGCCCCGTCACTTATTATCCGAATTCAAAAAAAGGATTGGGATCGGAGGGGCAGAGCCTAGAGGGGGGTCGTAAGAGGCGACCAGGGTCAAGGACGTGCGTGTCCATCATTCCGAGAGACGACATGAACAACGACGACAGACGGGTCTATTTGAAGCATATGAGACGAGGCGAGATTGACGAGTGCTTGAGCATTCCATTGAGCCTCGAGCATTCACGGTCCGCGGCTAGGAGAAGTCTGGGAATCTGAGTTCGAGAGGGCTGCATTGGTGCAACGACTTGATGAGCGGCAGCGGGAGATGACGTTGGTAGCGTTCTGGTTCGGATGCTGGAAAGGAACTTTCATGAAAAGGATCGTTGGTGCGAACAAAGTGCAAGGTCAGGGGAAGGTGAAGAAGGTAAGGTAAGGTATTGTCAGCAGCACACGGCTTTACACAGTAGGTGGCAGCAGCAACCACCTCCACCTCCAAGGTCCACGTATGTATATTTTCGTACGGAAGGAAGAAGTGAGGTGTCTGCAGGGGAGAAGTGTATCCGTCCGAATGGGATGGGACCAGATGCTGCGAGTGATTGACGGATCGTGCGGATGATGTACGGTGAGCTCAAGCCGAACAAATATCTCAATGGAGTTTCTGCTGACAGCTATCATCAGATCTTGACCTGCCACGATTTGCTTACAGTTCTGAGCTTTCTTCACCTTGCGCCGCGTTGAAGTTGGATCATGGATGGTAGATGATGCGAGACCCTGAGTCAAGGACCTGGCCTCAGGCCCGAGTGGGCTCGACAAGATTTCGTGATGATCACCGAGCATGGGAGCCTGGGAGGTGCGGGCTCCAACAGTTTGTGGGGATGGGGTGGAGACCGCCTCACGGTTCGATGGTCCAGTTGCATCTCGGGATTAATTATATACCCCCCAGCTCATGTCGTTGGTGATGAGCGAATGTGATGACGGTTGAGCGAGCGAGCGAGCGAGGAACCTGACCCTTTGAAGCGAACGATTTGTTCATGTTTAGATCATGATGTGGACGCCGAAAGAGTTGGGGTTCCAAGTTTGTAACTGTCATTGAGACTCCGGCGGCGGCACGGCGAGACAAGACAGTCTGACGGCGGGCGGGAGAGACGGTAGGGGAAGAAGCAAGTACTGTCTGACTGTGTACCTACTAAGGTACCTAGTAGGTAAGGTGGTGTACTCTGTGCGGATACCCCAGCTAGAGATGGGAATATTTGATGCTTTGCCGCGGGATTTTCTGTGACGAAAGGATGTTGCGATTGGACTCTTTTGCATTCTAAGAAGGAAGAATTGAGGTGCTGTTGGATGATACGTATCGTATTGTCTCGGGCTCCAGATTATTCCAAAGGTGTCTCATTCCCTTCCATTCCAGGATTACCTAAGGCGAGGTAGTTCGTAGCTTCCAGATTGGTGGGGCGCTTGTGGTGATTACGGTAGGTATCCAAGCTGCTCAGACTACGTACCCAAAATATCATCCGAGGATGGAAAAAACCTCAGGCAACATAAGATGAAGCAAGCAGTTGAACATAAGATAAGGTAACTGCTAGGCGAACACAACCACCGCGGCAGCATACGGGTACACAATGCCACAAAGCGTTTGAGCATTGCGACTATTCCATCCCGAGGCTCTCAATCCAGAGGCCCCAAGCTCATTAAGCGAGCCGGAAGTTACCCATACAAGCACAAGCTGTGCCGTTTGGTAGGTACTATACCTAGGTGACTGTGACTCTAGACTCCCAGAATCAGCGCCACGGAATACAACGTGAGGGCTGCAAGGCTTGAAGCTCCGACCCGGATCTTCTTCCTCGAGCTGCCGCATGAATGCATTACTGCGTTGGCGCACGCCATTTGCCTATCTATCGGCTTCCCACGCTACCCTACGCAGGAATATGTTCCTAACTGCCTCGGGAGGTTGATCGTCGCAAGGTACCTTAGGTATGGATGGACGTGAGGGTGATGGCGCATTGGCCGAGCGAACCATGGGCCTGGCGATATCTGAGCTTGCCTTGAGACACCAACAAAAGCCGCAGGCATCGAAGGGCGTGGCGCGGTCGGGCTGGAATTGATGGAAGGTAGGAAAGGTGAAGAGAGAGCCATGAGCAAACCGAAAAAAAGTCTGCTTTGGCTCGGCCGTCATCCCTTCTTTCATTCCAGCCCATTGGCCTCACGTCACGATTTAGCGGGCGATGGCTGCTTCTTCTTCACATTAGTGTCATTCTTGCCATCTGGGGGTTTCCTTGGGGGTCTGCCGCTTGGGTCGCCATCGTTAGGTACCGCTAGTCCGTCATTGGCCCTGGGAGCGATCGTCGACCAAGTGGTGGTTGTCTTTTAGTTTCGGGAGGAGTCTAAAGAGCTTCCAGCCTTTGATTTCTCCCACCGCCTCCAGGTTCTTTTCAATAGAAACTCCCGTCTCGCTCTCGGGGAGACGGGCCCATACCTGGATGCGTGGGTGCTCGGGAGAGAGACGAGATGCTGCTAGAAACCGGAGTCTGGAGACAGACGACCATGCGGTGTGGAAACACGATCCGGCTTGACAGCCTTGAATGCGACTTGGCCGGCTCTGACTTGCCAGAGGCATGCAAGAGGGGTCCCCTATCCATGATCCAGCTGCCGCGCTGTCCTATCCCATGGAGCCCAATTGAGGATTGTGTGTCGCCCCAGCTTGGAGCTACCTATGGGCTCTGGGCTATCCTCGGATGTGGTTCTCAAGCTTTCTCGTCTGTCTTGCTCCCCCGTCCGGATGCGTCCGTACTCGCGGGGGGGTCAACGACGGGAAATAGAAACCAGGGAAGTAATGGGTAGTAGTAGCCGGCGGTTGTGTCATAAAGCAAGGCGGTGGTTTGGGTACGGAGTGCGGTGTACGGAGTAGTGTTAGTTGCAGCCCAAAAGTCAGATACACCATGACGAGAAAGAAAAGTCTTCCTTGGTTAATGGAGGGGCGGTCAGAGCTCTTTGGTAGCTGAATTGGCTGTCTCTCTCTCTCCGCTTCCTTCATTAAGCTTGCCCGTATCCCCTTCGGTGATCGGATCTTTGTCGGATTCTTCCCTTTCTTCTCCTCATCGTCTTGTCATTGACCTGTTGTGTTTCCTCTTCTTCTGACTGACAAAGTCGGATGGAGGACCAGCGGGAGATGCATCACTACAGCCTTTGAGTGTTTTTGTTTCTTTCCGAGCGTGGAAGGAATACAAAGAAAGGTCAACCAACGACTAACGAGAGGGCGAGCCCCGCAGCTCGCCCCCGCGCGACCGAACGACGGGAATTGTCACGATAGGAAAGAAAGACAAACAGGAAGAAAGAGAAAGAAGCAGAGGAAGGGTTGTTTCCTTGTGAAATCACTGGAAGTTTCGAGGGAAGGAAGTGGTCGATTTGCAACAAAAGTTGGCAAGAGGTAAGCGACGCTCTTTCTCATTTCATCCCATGTTTCCCTCGTCGCCTTCCTCTTCCAGCTCTTGGGGAGTTAGACCTCCTTCCATCTCTTACAGCTACCCTTTGGCCTTTCTTTCCCTTTCGTTCCCCTGCCTTGATCACATGATTCACATACCTACCGGTACCTTCCCTTCCCGCATCATGGTTCGTCTGGCATTCGGTCCAAGGTAGCGAATTCCTCAAGCGTTTGCTCGAGCATGCATCTACCTCAGCCTCAGCCTCTACAACAATATATCCATTCATCCCTTCCCATTACCCAACTCCTACGAGACGAACCCGAAAATTCAAGACCCAAGACGGGGAACACGGACGACTGGACAGGGGGCCCCATTTCTCCTCTCATACGCCAACCAAACGTGTGGGAAACCGTGCCGTTTTACGGTTTTCTAGTGCCAATCACCAATTCCCACCCCTGAACTGAATTGACGAGATTACGGATCCAGCCCACACTGCCTTGCTCAGCACCTACCGAGATTCTCCCTGGGTACCGAGTACGGAAAAAAGAAAAGCTGACGGGAGAAAAAAAGATCGCCTTCGGTTCCTCAGTACCGAGCCACCGCGACCACGACGAGACAAACGTCAACAATACCATCATCACCACACGTCTTCATCGACTTTGCTCAGCCTCTGCCTAGTCAGCACCAACTTGTTACCGCATTTGGGACCCAAATTCTGCCTGCAGCATCACGCTTGCCCATCCCCCAAGGCAGCTTTCTTTAGCCTTTACCGCCCCTTAGGTACCTTTCATCGCCCCAAGGTACGTACGTGCTCCGTTCCGCGCGTCAGGAAAGCTAATTCCACGAGGAATGGAGCTGAAAAGACACATGGCCTGAACCTCCCAAAATGTTTCAAATCCACCATTCTTCCTACAATACCAACACCGTCCACCCTGCGCATGCATCCCGCTAACCTGCACCCGCTCATATAGAACACGGTCTTTTCCTGTGTGACGATCAACAATCCGTACAAAAGTCTTCCCCTGACATTCTGCATCTTCATCTACCCTCCTCCACCGACACCTTCCACCCTACCGACGCGCATCAACCGCATTTTTCACATCCAACACCGACACCATGGCTCGCATCCAGATCCCCATCGACGCCCTGACGAACCGTCTCGGCCTGCAGGAGCGCTTCAACAGCATGCGTTCCGGCGGCTTGAGCGGCCGCTTCGCCAACCTGCGTCCTGTCGGCGAGTTCTTCGACATGAAGCGCCTCTCCAAGCCCGCCAACTTTGGCGAGGTCCAGTCGCGATGGAACTACAACCTCTCCTACTTCTCCAGCAACTACAGCGTCGTCTTCTTGATGCTCAGCGTCTACGCTTTGCTGACCAACTGGCTGTTGCTTTTCGACATCATCTTTGTTATTGCGGGCATGTTCCTCATTGGCAAGCTCGACGGTCGTGATCTCGAGATCGGCTCTTTCAAGGCCACCACATCCCAACTGTGGACCGGTCTTCTCGTCATCTCTGTGCCCTTGGGCCTGTACGCCTCGCCTTTCGCGACGCTGCTCTGGCTCGTTGGTGCTTCTGGCGTGGTCATCCTCGGCCACGCTGCTTTTATGGACAAGCCTATCGATGAGGCTTTTTCCGGGGAGGCGGTCTAGATGGTCGGCCGCGAGCTCCCAAATTTGCGCCCCAGTGGGGAAGACCATCAAGGCGCGGGCGGAGGAAACAGGGAGCTGCGCAACAGGGGTCCTGGGAGGACGGGACGAGAGTTGTCGAGGAGCTAGAGGAGACGGAAATGGACAATTCAGATACACAAGGCGTTGGTTTGGTTTCACGAGGAAAGCGGTTCGCAAGCGACCCGCTCCGCTTTACGGGTACAGACGTGGGTGAACGGACGACGGCATTGCGTAGAGGATACGATTACCAGCATTCGGACGATGACGAGGACGACAGCGAAGACGACAGCGAGGACTCGGAAGAGTCCTCTTCGGAAGACGAAGAAGAGGAAGAAGAGATTGATTGGGATCAGCTTTCTCCGAGAGAGCGAGACGAAGCGCTCGCGCAGAGAGCTCTGGCCCGCATCCGACGTGCACAAGAACGGGGCAAGCTCGAGGTCAACCTTAGCAAAGAAGAGATGGCCGCCCTAGAACGACGGAGGAAGCGCATTGAAAAGGAAGCACGCAAGCAGGAGCGTAAGCAGCGGCGCGAAAAGGAGCAGCGGTTTGCCATTCCGCTATCGCAATTCCAGCCAACCTCCTCTCGCAGAAGGTCGCCCACGTTGGCTCTGGAGGACGATTTGCCCCGCCATCCGTCGCCTGGAACATTCGCCAATGTCCAAGACGGTGGTGCGATGCCGCCCATGGGGTATTTCCCGCCGCCCAACGCTTCGCGCACCCGCCCTAGATCGGCAACTTCCGCTTCGCAGCGACCGACGTCTCGAATCATGGGCGAGAGGGGCTCGTCGCCCTTCAACTATGCCTATGTCCAGGGGCCTCCAGGCCAGCGTTTGCCTTCGGATAACATGTCGCCTGCTTCTTCGACCTCGTCTCTGCCCAAATCTCGAAATGGCGTTGACCCATTCCAGTTCCAGACGGAAGGTCCCGCCAGTGCCGCTCGACGCAACGTATCGGGCTCCACCGACGGGCGCCGAACATCCGTTGCGCCTCCGACGGGTCGAGGCGGCCGGGCTCCGCGCGGGCCGCCACCCGAGGAGAGTAGCAGCGAAGAAAGCAGTGAGGCGAGCAGCGAGGAAAGCACCAGCGACGGCATCGGAAACGGTGCTCAGATCGTCGAGCCGCCGCAGCGTCCGCCGTCATCCGGCCCGACTACGCGGAGAGGTCGTAAGGAAGCCGTTGCCGTGGAGGAGGCTGCCGCCCGTGAACCGGCACGTGAGGTTTCGCGGGGTAAGAAGTCTGCCAACCCGTCGCCGTCCAAGAGGAAGCCTACCGGTGGTCGGCGCAAGAAGAAGTAGTATTTTCGCTGTCGAGGGCTGGGTCAAAAGTTGTCTGCCGTGTCTAGTACCGATAATAGAAACAATACTCCGTATTTCTTAATGAATTCATTGCTCTCCCACTGCTGCATCTGTCATGTGTCTTTGGCGTACTCTTCTTGGACAACTTGTTGAAAGGTCATAAATCGTATCTTGATATATCTAGAGGTATATATGTAAATGCGCCATGCACGGTCGTAACGTGGCATACAATTGTTCCAAGGGCCGGTTCCCAGGAAAATGCATGGGACGAACCAGAATGGGTAGTCAAAGAATCCCATAACCCAGAAAAGAAAACGCCCTTCAGTCATAAAAATGCCGAACAAAATTGTCCACCCAAACCAATCGTGATTCTTGCCCGTTCGGTCTTGTGCTCCCGGTACCTCGTGAGTCGGGGTTCAGACAAACATCTTTGCGACACCATTCATAAGCCCATCAGCCCAACCACCGCCACCACCACCACTGCCATCCCTCTCAACACTCCTCCTCTCCCACGAATAATCCCCATCATACCCCCTCTCAACATGCGCGCGGGTCGCCGCAGCACCACCGCCGAACCCGCCGCTCGCCATGCGGACCGCCTCGCCGACGAGGCCCATGGAGTCGCCCGAGGCGGCTTTCGCGCCGATGCCAATCATGCGCTCGATGCCCGGCGGGAGGCGGAGGCCGAAGCGGGCGAGGAGGGCGGTGAGGAAGCCGCCCGTGATGAGGGGCATGATGACGAGGGCGACGACCTTGTAGGGGTGCTTTTTGGCGTAGTAGACTAGGTCGCGCCAGAGGCGTTTTACCTGCTTGAGGGTCTTTTGGACGAAGCCGTTTCGCGGGGAGCGTTTGTAGTACGAGGGGCGGCCTTGATTTTTTGAACACCATATTAGCTTTTGAGGTTTTTGGGTCTTGGAAGAGGCAATTGAGGTCCTGGTCAAGCTTCCAGGTGATGGAATGGCAACATGATGAAAAGAAGAGGAAAGCGATTGGAGACGTACCACCGCTGAAGCCGAAGAAGGACGAGCGCGAGGCATTGGGAATACCAAAGAAGGAGCCGCGCGACGCGTTGTTCTTCTTGTAGTCGTCGCCGCCAAAGATGGAGGCGGCGATGCTGGGCGCGCTGTGGCGCTTGCTGCGGGAGCGCGAGGAGGAGCGGGAGCGGGAGCGGTGCTTGGTGCTGTGTTTTTTGGAGTGGTGGGAGGAGTGTCGGCGGGAGTGGGAGGAGCGGCCGGAGATGACGCTGCCCGTGGATAAGTCGAAGAAGCCCATTGTGATTTTGTGTATGTTGCCTGTCTCGCGATTTGTCTTGCGGTGTAGGTGATGTGAGAGAGCTCTCTGTAGTGGGAGAGCTTCTTGCTGAGTGGGTGTGGGTGGCTGAGACTATCCGTACGGAGACCAGGTCCGGGATGTGAGGTCGTGGTGGTGGATGAAGGAGGAAGGACACAGCTGGGATCAAGCTGTGGATGCTCAGGTTGAGGGGTGGAGGAGGGGAGAGGTTTGTGTAAGGAGTGAGAGAGTGGGAGTAGGAGTGAGAGACGGAGAGCTATCGAGACGTGGAGGTGGTGAGACGGTGCGGTGGAAACCCACAGACGCCAAACCAGTCCGGGGAGGGAATTAAAAAACCCTTGTGCGAGGCTGGAGAATGCGACACTGTCTGGTTCGGGGGAGTACGGCTTGCGGGATGGGATGTGGCGCGTTACACACGGAGACGAGTTTTACTGTCCCTGAGGGTTGTCTTGTCTTGTCTTGAGGCCTTGATGAGGCGTTCGTCCGGATAGAGCTGGCTATGCTGTATTCGTAGCCTTATGACATGGGGTTTAATTGAATTGGATGGACTCGCCAGGGGAGCGATGTTGAAGCTCACGAACTGGTGGGAAGGTTGGAGGGGGAGGGGGAGAGGGGAAACTGGTTCGTGCTTTTGGTAGACGAGAGTCTAGAGAGACCGGGAGGCGAAGAATGGGGATAGATAGACGAGAACGACGAGGGTACACCCTTGGTTTTGAACTCTGGATGGAGTTCGTTTTTGCTCGACAACTTCAGCCCAAACGTGGATGTCTCCTCGACACCTTGAACCCGATCGTGGATCTTTCAAGTGTTGTTGCCAGCTTGTCAGAAGTCTACAGGGCCCAGGCCAGGTGAATTCGTAGGCTCTCGCAACTCTCTCGCGTGCGCAAGAACCAGGGTTCGTTTTCTTCACTGGATATGCAAGCGATTTCCGACGCAAGCAATTCGTTCGGCAAATGGCAAGATTTAGTGTGCGGACTGGGGGGCTGAAAAGTCGTGAGTGGACGGGGAGCGGCGGAATGTGGAAATTCGCAACCGAATTTTTGGACTCTTCTGCGACTCGATGCGTGGCCCTGCGTGCGAGTGTCCGCTCCCGATGGATACAGAGAACAGGTCTGGCCAGGAGAGGAGCACAGGAAGCGAGTGTTGGACCTGTTGGTTTCTTTGGTTCGGCGAATGAGGGTGACTCTGGTTGTCTGGATGCTGAAGAGAAGTGGACGGTCTCCAGTTGTATGAGTCTATCAGAGCCTGACTGTGCAAAGTCCAACGTCTCGATTGTAACGTATCAATTGTCTACTGTTTTGATTTTTGATTTTTTTCATTCACCGCTGGTTTGTCGTCCTGTGTGTGGCCTTTGCTGAGATGTATGTGACTCCTTTCGTATTTCCAACCTGATCCCAATTGATTGCTTTTGGTCTCACATGTTGTTGGTACGTATCCCATGTGGAAAAGTAAAAGACTAAAAAAATGGATGGCTGGGAATCGAGAAAACCGTCTGGACAGGGTTTCGCAGGGTCCCCTCCTTCTGTGTCTGCCAAGGTCGAAGCTAAAGGAGCCTTGGTGCTCGATTGTGACCGGGGTAGTCCAAACGCTAAACGGTTTTGGGAATGGCATCTGTGGATGATCAGTTGCGGTCTGGTGGGGAGCATTGCGGATGGAATGGGATGGGATTCTCAACTTTCTCTCTCCTCTAGGAACGAAATTCGAGAAAGGATTGACCCCCTCAATGACGGAGGTTTGAACACCGCGTCGTTCATATCATATGTTCGGACCGGATCGACTTCATGTCTTGTTGTTGAATATCGAGACGAGGACTCCTCTGTATGTTTCCTTCAGAGGTCCCGACGAAATGTTGGACACATGGAAGTGGCACTGGCTTAGCCTTTGATAACGGGCGGTGCCTGACTTGAGTCTGAATCCACATCTCAACTGCAGGCACTGCTGTGCAAGAGACATGCCAAAGGTAGTTTCAGAGATAAAGTGCTATTAGCAGAGGGGAGGATTGGCCTCTGCTCTCACCTGCATTGGAAGTTATGGTTTGCCTTTGGTCCTTCTTTCACGTTTATGCAAGTCGGAAGTGGTATCTCCCTACCTAAGAGTGCTCAGTTATCTGTCTGTGAAATGGTGCTTTTAGCTGCCCGGAACACGCAGAAGGTCCCATCAACGATAACCTTACAGGCGCTTCCTTTCGTTGCGTATAGACAAAGCGAGGCCAGTCTTGATAGTAGACCAGTCATAGCACTGGCCACATCAGCGATCAACTTCCAATTCATCTTTTGCAATCCTCAATTGGACTCGAGTGCCACACTGCGAGCACAAACTTTGATACACAGGCTGTGGAAACCAAGGGAGCAGGCGATACCTCTCAGGCTATAGCCTCTCTAGGATCCTGGAACAACTCTTCCTTCGCCTCATTCATCTCGGAACGTAGTCGCCGTCGACATATCAGGCCACCACCAGCACAACAACTTGCCGGAGCTGCTTGATGATCTATCAAAACGAGCTGTTTCTTCCCCCTTTGGCTGAGGCGGACTTTCTTACTTACTTATCTCAACATGCTTGACTCTACCTTACTCCCGAGCTTTCTCAACCATTAAGCCGGCCCTTTCACTTTGCAAGAGTCCAAAGAAACAATGCGCTCGCCTTTCCTCATCCCTATCCTCCTCGCCATCCCTTCCGCTTTGGGATCACCTTCACCTTGTACCGCCGCGGCCATACAATGCCCCCTCGTCTTCGACGGCCGCGTCCCCGCCACAGCAACACCCCAGGACTTTGATACGGCCCTTGGCGGGGGGTGGAATCCGTATAATCCAGACTACGTAAAGGGCGCGAGCTTGTCTTGGTCGGATATCATCCTCCTGCCGGAGTCTGCTCCGGTCTCCACCCGGCCCGGGTCACGGTCCTCCCGCTTCGATGCCGCGGAGACGAAGCGCGCGCTGGAAGTCACGATTTCCGATGCGAGCATTTTCATGAACCAGCGAGGCTTTAGGCGCGCAGGGTTATTGTTCGCGGGGGATACGAATGAGGGGAGTCCTGCGGGGGAGGGAGTGAAGACGTTGCATTTTAGTGTGAGGTTGGACTTGGAGAGGCCGTTGAATTTGACGCATGAGTATCTTGTAAGTCTTCTTCTTTCAGTGCCTGCATTGATGGAGGGTATGGAGGCCAAATGGTACATTCAACTTTTGCTAGTGTTTAAGCTGATGATCTTTTGGGGAAACATAGAATGTCTGGCACGAGACGGCAGCCTACGATGCGAACCAGTTCAACTTCCAAACCGGCACCATCATCGGCCAGCCGGAGTTACCAAAAGAGACGTACAAGTTATTGGATCGGGATAACAAGTTGCTCTGGTCGACGCCGATAGCAAAGGACGGATCGTGGCAAAACTTTGCGCTCACGTTGGACTTTTTGAACAAGTGAGTTAAGCCATTCTTATTACTCCTAACCCTCTGTTCATCCTTGAATGACTCATCAAAACTACATTCGGTGATTTGCGAAACGAACTTTTGGCTGACATTTTGCCTCAAAGTACAATCCAGATATGGTACTCTGCGGGCAACAACCCGCTCGCAAGGCTGGGTGGTGCTGTCCCGGTCAATCTCGCCGGCGACGGGCAGTACCAGATCGGCATCTTGAAGAAGCCCACGGGTACCGATGACGTGGTGAACTCGGGGTATCAATCTAGTAACCTCAACGAAGGTCTGATTTACGGTGGGATCTTTATCGAAGATAGCGCCAATGGTTGTGTGTCCATCTAAGAGTCTGCTCATCTTTACTTCTCTCAAAGTCCAACGTTGTAGTGAGCCCATCACTATACTTCCAAGTCTAGATATTCCCTTCTAAATCTATGCCTCCAAATTTATATCCACCATCTTTATACCGCACTTCGTAAACGGACCTCTAAGAATGCCAGAACTCTAATTCACCTTTCTCACCGAGCACCTGGGGAGGGTGTGGTAACCTGTCCCCAGAGAGGCTTATTCTTGCACATTCACGGCAGTAAAGCTCGCCTTCAACGGAGCGATGCTAATGACGCCATTAAGCGAAGCCCACAGATCCTCACCCTCGGGACTCTCCTCAGCTTGCCGCTTGATATCACCAAGCTGCGGCGCCCACCGAAACTGATACGTCCGCGACGCCGACATCGCCAACTTCTCAGGATCGGCAGCAGAGTCGTTAAGCACGGGAGCAAACAAGCCCCCCGTGACCCATCTCCCCTCCGCGATCTTCGTCAACCTCACCGGCGCCTCACCGACGTCGGCGACCATGGGCACATTGACGCTATACACCTCCACCTGCGGGTGCCACTCCCTCACGAGCTCCTCCACGAGCTTCACGGCGCGCACGCACGCCGCGCGGATGGTCGTCGGCGGTTGCGGGTCCTTACTCCCGAAGCTGAGGGCCACGGCGCGGCGCCCGCACTGCGCGGCTTCCAGGGCGCCGCCGACGGTGCCGCTGCTGAGTGCGTAGACGGTGCTGGCGTTGCGGCCGTGATTGGGGCCCGATATGACGAGGTCAAAGTCTTGCGGGGAGAGGTTGGGCGTGTGGAAGAGGCCTAGTTGGGTGCAGCTTGCCGGGGGCCCGTTTACGATGAGCCAGCGGTGGGTGCGGTCTTCCGTCTCGCCGCAGCCGGGGATGCTGCAAGTTTTGTTGGCGTCATCTGAACAGAATGACGCTGGACATTTGCTCTCTGCGGTCAGGGTCTTGCCGACGGCGTGGGCTTTACCGATCCACGAGAGCGGCTTGTCGGGGATGACCACGACAGTCGTGTGGCCCGCCTCGTTCAAGGCGGTGATGAGGGGCGCCAGGTAGGGCGAGACGGGGGACGGGGGACCGTCGTCGTTGACTACCTACGGACACGGAAGAGGGAGAGGCGTACTCATCAGCTTATTTGGTGTTCCACCCCGTACGTTTGTAACTATGTAAGCCGGGTATAACCCACGCATTGTGCGTGTGTGAGTAACCCGGCCAGGGGGGGAAGATAGTAGGCCATTTTATTTACCAAGAGCCGCATTGTCGCACGTCGGCGATGTCCTAAGGACAGTGAGGTCCGAAGAAAACAAAGAGATAGGAAGAGATATGCCGAGGTAGGTCAGGCAGCGATATATTGGCAAATCTGGCGCCGACGCGTTCGGCTTTTCTGATGCCTCTCTCTCTTCTGGTGGGTTTTGATGGGGTAGTGCCGTTGTCGTAGTGGTGGTACGCCGTAGATCCAAAGGCAGGCTGCCGCCGAGCCGCAGCAGTGATGGACAGAAGAATGCAGAAGCAGGGATCAGGAGAAAAGAAGGCAACCGAGGGCCAAGATCAGGCTGCCCGGCTGTGGTTCCGCGGACGAGGCAGACGAAAAGAAGAAGATGGTGTAAAGGAGAGTTTCCGGGACAGACTGTAGCTGGGCGAAGTATGACGCGCGCGCTTCGGTCACTGAAAAGAGGGAAACGTGAGAAAAGGGCTGGCTGGTTTGGCTGGATTATAAGAGACAACACCAGATACCAAATGGGGGGTACAAGAAAAGTCCCGATGTGAGGTATGACTCTTACCAAACCCACAGGGCTGATATTATCTGGGAGTAAAGAAGGGTCTGTTTTGTGTCGTGTCCTGTCATGTGGCACGGTATTGACTTTGTCCGATGATTCTGAGAAGAAGTGAAAATGGGTGACCCCCTCCTCACCCATCCCGGTCCAGTTCTTGTCTTTCGGTTGACCCCGCCGACCACGGAGCACGGCAGCGCCGTATCGGATGGATCTACGAACGGGACCAAGGTCGAGTGCACGAGAAGGGAAAGTCGAGGTAGATGAGGGTGGGATAATGCCTCCAATGTTCGGATCAAGGCCACAGTCCACACACACAAACACACCATGAATGCGACTCAGAAGCAGCCGTAGAACTTGGCACGCTTGTGGGCTCTAGGGAAATACTTGAACTTTGGGACGAGGCGTCCCGAGTCGGTGGTGCGCCTTGCAGTTTGCCCAACGTGAGCTTCGGCAGGCTCTCTCCCTCACTCTCTTGAGTCTCTTCTCTTGGTCCACCACACACTCGCCCTGTCTCTATGGAGTATGGACTACGAGATGGTGTAGTGGAGAGGAAGTACCCTACACCCTGCCCATGTACCCTCCCCAAAGACATCACAACCTTGCCATGTACCGAGGGAAACCAAACATTGGGGACGAGGAAAGAAAGTGTCTACATCATTGGACGAAATGCGTGCGAGAGAACCAAGAACCGGTGTAAGCCGCCATCTGCCGCCCTATATCGGAGCCCTGGAACTCCCTTCCCCGGCGCCAGCTTCTGCTGTAACACACCGAAAGGCGTGCACGTTTCCCCTTGCCTAGGGGTCTGGTTGGTCCATCAGTCCCCTGGGCTACACTAAGGAAAGCACCGCGCAGATGCCACAGCAGAGACACACAGTGACGGAAGCTTTCCTCTCGTCCGCAAGTTCCCACACACACACTTACACACACTTACACACACTTACACACACCCTTCGCCAACCACATGCCAACAAGAAAGACAGACAGACAGACGGACAGCTCCAATGAATCTGATCAAGGCCCAGCCAAGCAACAGCAGAGCCTCGTCTTGCCAACCCAGGCAAACAATACCTTATGAAGGGCCTCCCATCCCCTCCCCAGCCTGTTTGGGGCACTCACTTCCTCTTCTTGCCACACTTCTGGGCAAACTCACTCTAACACAGCCTTCTTGGAATAAAGTAGGCTTTCATCATCAAAGTCACCTTGACATTGTAAACTGGTATGGCACACTGGAACAACATTAGGAACAATACCCCATTCACATGGGCCGGGCAATCGGCCGACGACCCCTTCAGCCAACAACAATGGGCGGCAGCAGCAGGCCATGATGACTCTTCTACTCAGCCCATCGGTCCCGCCGGCCTTCTCAGCACCAACGCTCCTAGAAATGATGAGTCCTTGATCAAGTGAGTTGAAACCTCGTTGTCTCCTTTGCCCGAGACACCGTCATAGTCATAGTCTAACAGCCGTTCAGGGACTTTTACAACGAGCTTCCAGATGATATTCATCAAACCGGTATCTCTGGTCTATCATCCACCTGGCCCTCTACCCACGCTGCAGTGGCAGACCAGAACGATCTCCCCTTCGACCTCGCCATTGACAATGGCATCGACCTCGACGCTGCTAAACCTGCGTCGTCGGAACTGGCCCGCACAAGCAGCCAGGCGAGCTCGTCCGGCGTCGATGAGGAGGAATCCGTCGTCTTCAGCCATGCCGGCGACTTTAGCAGCGGTGTAGGCTTTGATGATAGCTTTGGACAAGGCTTCTTTGGCAGCATCAACAGCCCGAGCACCACCTTCTCCGACGCCATCCTGTCTGCGAACCACTCCCTTGAGAGTAGTCCCATCGTGAATGCTAGATGCCCGTATCTCAGCATGCAGGCAGAGAGTCCCGTTTCTGGCGCCTCGTCGGCGACGGCGGCCAACACCCCGCAATCATCCGTACTCGGCGTCGATGGTGCCTTTTCCGACATTGGGTTTGCTCCCGCAGATACCCCAAGAAGCGTTCCGGGCCCGCATGTCAGCGCCCTGTCGACGGGCTTGGCGAATCAGACTTCGTTTTCAGCCAGCTTGAGTCTGAGTCCTACTTCGCCCTTTTATGATCGTTGGGATTCTGATGTCGGGGAGGGGAGGGCTGATGACTTTGACCGTCTCATGTGGGATACTCCGTCGCTTTCCGAAGGCTTCATCCCGTATAACGCGAACCAGTTGGGCCCGTCGTTGGTTATTGTTCCACCCGATATGCCCGACATTCATATGAGCGACTATGGCGATGGTGCGACTCCCGACGCGCCTTCGCCCTCGCAGACGCATCCCATCGACTACTACCTCAACGAGATGTACGCACCTCCTAGACTAACACAACCTCGGAGCGTCCCAAATACATCGGCAGCACAGAACCCTGCCGTGACCGCGGCGAGTGGCCTTCTGGTCCCGAGTAGAAGACTTAGGAGACGATCAGACCCGGTCCGTATGGATGCAGTCATCAGAGGACAGGTCCCCAGACTTCAATCAGCTATGCCCAGCACCACTCCTGCATCACAACGCAGAAGCCCCGTTCAACGTACCACGGCGCAGTTTCTGTCTGTATCTGGCGCTTCTCACTTCCAGAGATTGCGTCCGTCCGAACCACAGAGGAGGTCAGGAGTGACAGAGCCCATGCCCATCGTGGCCCGCCCAAGAAGGTTGAGCAATAGCAGCAGTAGCAGATCCTCTGATGCACAAAGCCTCGTGGGCAGGCCCGGTCGGTCAGGCCCGGCTCGCGGGCGCCGCCACGGCCCGATGGACCCCGTCTCTCGTGGACAGGCCAAGGAGACGCGGAACAAGAAGATGGTGTGCATTCGCTGCAAGCACTCCAAGCAAAAGGCAAGCACTTGTAACCAAGGCAGTTCGTGGTTCTTTTCACTAACACGTACCCAGTGCAATCGAAGTGACGACTCCTCTCAGGACTCTTGTACCGGATGTGACAAACACGGCGGCTCTCAAAGGTGGCCTGGGCCCTGCGTCAGAGCCCACTTTGAGGACCTCATTCAAGCGGGAACGTGTAATTACATCTGTAAGTCAATCTTGGGAGCTCCGTTATCTTCCACGTGGAGACTAACCATCATGTAGCCCAACACGCCATCTACCATCCGACCCGTGACAACAAGACGCGCATCCGTAGAGAGCTCCCCAGACAAATTCAAATCGACAATCTCATCGACAGGGTAAACCGCGCGCGAAGCCACTTCAATATCCGCGTCCACCAAGACGGCCGCCCCATCTATGTCCTAGACCTCGACGCGTGCCACGAGTACCTCCACAGTCTCCGACAGCAGATGGACGGCAGCGAGTGCAGCTTCCAGGCCTTCATCGACCGAGAAATCCTGCGCGTCGATCCCAAGACAGACGACTGGGAGCGCTGCATGACCCAGCTGACGACGTCGCGAGACGATCCACTCGCCTTACTCTGCCTCGTGAACAATATGCCCAGCCGCGCAGGCTTCTCCTACATCTCCAAACGGCAGTTCACGTCCATGGGCACATCCGTGGAGCAAGCCCTGAACCCCGAGAATCCGCTCGAGGCCGAGAACCTCGTCCTCGCCGCGCAGCTTTCGAAGATCGTGTGTCGCAAGCTCGAGGTCAAGGCCTACGGGAACCTCCAGCGCCTTCTGCACGAGTCGGGGAACATGGATGATGACAAGGTTCTCCCGTTCTTGCAGAGGCTCGGTCGGATTCTCCTGACGCTGCGCTGGAGGCTGTCCTGGTGGGCTGTAGTGCCCGGGGACGCCGCCGCCGTGTACGATCAAGCGGACGACGAGGTACGGAAGCAGGCTGTACATGCGAGAGTACAGTCGCTGTGCCGGATTCTTTATTTCTACTACTGCTGTGTGCGGAGGAGGTTGCCGGTGTGGACGAATGTTGATGCGCTGAGGGGCATTCACTCGCGGTACCCGGACACCGAGGCCGAGATTTGGGATGATTTCCCTGGGAACGAGAGCGTTGAAGGCTTCGAAGCGTGGATGCAGAGAGGCACGGGGCTGATTCGCGAAGCTGGGGTGTTGAGTCGATTGCGCGCGATGGGGTTGACTGCGTGAGGCAGAGTGCGGGTTTTGCTTCCTTTCCTTCTGGGCGGCATGCATTTGTTCCTTATTCTTTTGGAATGCCCCTTTTATGATGATTTCCTTGGTTACCTTTCTTTCCAGCGACGTAGGCGTTTGGAGGCATTTTGCTACAAATTTAGGAAAGGGGATAACAGCACACTCGTTGGCAGATGTTACTTGAGATTTAAGTAGGCGTTCTATTTGGGACTATATGAGATACCAAAAGAGGAAACGGGCGTAATTGGGAGGTATAGCAAGCGTCTGTCTTTTCTAGACAAATCAAACAATCTTTTTTTTTTCAATACCATATTTGAACTGTTCTTGTGAGGGATGTCTGTATGCGTTTGACACGCTGGAGGAATGGACTGGATATCAAAGCCTGGCTCAACTCTAGGCACTACCGTTTGCTTGATTGTATGACACCCAAGTCTCGAATGAACTCATTCGAGTGAAATAACGACTCCATCTCGCAACTTGAGCATGCCAATCGCTGGCATCTGACATCAATACATGGATCAATTGCCTTTACAACACCGCCCCCATGTAGTAAGAATGTCAATTAAGCAAACAGGGCTGAGCAGAGCTCCATGATGATCAATGTTTCAAATCGCATCAGTTACCTCAAGGTAAGGTACCTTACCTCAGTCCGTACTACGGCAGTACAAAGCGGAGTTGAAAATGCTCATTCCCGTCACGTGTGTCTCTGCCTGGAGTCATCGGTGCAGATACGAAATACGATCCGGGGGACTCAGCCCCGGCTGTGTCCAATGGGGCGCTTCGGTGGGGGTGCGCCGGGTGGGGCCGTGAATGGCCCGCTTGGCTTCGTTGCCCGGCGGTGATCGGCCTTGCACGGGATTGGAGTTGCTGGCCTCATAGTTGGGAGTCTTGGGGAGAAGACATAAGTTTGGGGGGTTGGGGAGTAAGGAAGCAGGGCAATTGGATGCTTCGAATTTTTGTATAAGTATGGGCTTGCCGTCTTCATTTCGGCGACCAACCTACTAGATCACATAGACGAACAGCCTTTTTCTACTACTCTCAAGGTATTGCAGCAGTGGGAAGAGAACATTGAGATCTGGACTTTACATATCTCGAGAATTCCATCTTCAGTTTTGCCATCATTGCCTTATATTCAGGACCAAACACAGACATCATGAACTTCATGGGCAGAAAGAGCGACGCCAAGCAAGAAGATGTGGCCAACATCCCGCCGGAGCTATCAGACCTGCACTGCTTCACCGAAACAGGCGGCGTCATCACAACCAGTACGTCCGCATCTTACCCCCATCACTTACCTTACCTTACCTTACCTTATACACTCCACATACATACAACAGCAGCGATGCTTACACAGAGACAGCAATGTTCGACATCCCCGGCTACCGCGTAACCCGCACCCTGGGCGCAGTCTACGGCCTCTCGGTGCGCTCGCGCAACATCGCCGCGAGCCTGGGCATGGTGATCAAGTCGTTTGCGGGCGGGGAGCTGCGGTGGTTCACGACGATGCTGTATAACTGCCGCAACGATGCGCTGGGCAGAGTGGTGAGCGAGTGTAAGCAGAGGGGGGGCAACGCGATTATTTGTCTTAGGTTTGATGCGTCGGATTTGGGCGGGTTCGCGCAGACTTGCGCGTATGGGACTGCGTGCGTTGTTGAGAAGGTTGAGGGAGGAGAAGGGGTTGCGCCGCAGCTTGGGGGGAGTTGAGAGAGTGTGTAGCACTGTAGAATGAGGTGAGGTTGTCGTGGGGGTTGAGCTTGGCAGGGTGAGGTTTTTGTTTCATGGAGGCCTGAGGTAGCTAGGCAGAGGAGTTTTGATACCACGGCGTTGTAGTTGATGTTATTTTGAGAGGTAGCTGAATCGAGAACTTTGACAAGTCAAACATGTTTGGACAGTCAAGTATAGACTGCTCTTATACGGAGACCCTTGAAACAATGATGGTCTGTTGTCGATGATCTGCGGTTGATGTCGTGATGCTCGTGCATGGGTGAGGACCAGATGGACTGCAGATGAAGTTGAGATGAGAAGAAATGGTAGCCAATGTCTGAGTGAAGAATATGCCTCTCTCTCACTTAAGAAAATGGAGCTGATAGACCTGCCTCATATGGAATGTTTGGCTTGCAGATGGAAGAAACGGAGGTGCAGATGCAGCTGGTGCTGAGGTGCAGCAAGGTACCTTGAAATGGCAGGGTCCGAATCCCGCGATAAGGCAAGATAAAGACAGCTTAGCTAAGACCTGCTGCATTCGAACAATTAGACGAGACACCCGTAGCACCCTGCTAACTCCCCCCGGCTAGCTCCGAAGAACCATTGAAACGGGCCAAGCCCACTTGCTACCGCGCTCCGCATCCGTCTCCCACAGCAGTGGTACTCGACATCCAGGCCACCTCCGCCAGGGGACCCGCCACTAAACCCAAGCCAATGGATGCACCTGTGGACCACCCGCAAAGCTCCCCAGCCCAGCACCCCGAGACCTACTGCGTAGGTGTACCAAGTGCTCTTTGTTCATTGACTCGTCTCCACGGCCTCGGCCTCATCCACGTCCACTCCACGATCCTTCGCACCTACACAACTCTCCGACATCCCCCCTCTCCTCCTTCACCCGCGGGTGCTTCTCGTATCTCCTTGCGTGCTCGTTCTACCCATCCGACGGCCCTCCCGCAATACCACCAGATACGAACCCTCCGGTCCATGGGGTGTCGTTGCGTCCTCTGATTTCCAAAAGAGGGCTGAAGCTGCCTCGAGACAGCATGCCGTTTCAAGTCACCGCGCAATCCACCTAGTTTCGATCCCATCTTTCTTTAGCTTTGCCATCTGCTGCTCTGCTGCCCTCTCGCCTTGGCAAAGCTTTACCCCCCCGGACGGAAGAACCGAACCTACCGTCAAACCCTCCCGACCGACGAACTGATAACCACCCGACGAGACCTCTCTCCGTCTCCGTCCTCCGACACCATGGACGCAGCACCAAGCGCTTCCGCTGCACCCACCGCCGAGGACCCCAGGATGTCCCACGAATCATCCCTCTCGAGCGTGTCCACCACCAGCCTCGTCTTCGACCGTCTGCACGAGCAGAATGAAAAGTCATACTCGTCTTCCTCTTCCCAGAGGCGCCGCGCCCCCTCCGCCTCGCGCCCCGCTTACGCCGACCACCCGGACGACGACGATGACAACGATTACAAAGAGTCCGACGCCAATGACCTCGAGACGGGTCCCTTTCTAGCGCCCACGACGGGCATGATGCGCCGTGTAGGCATGGACCGCGGACTGAAAAAAGGGATATGCATACTCGCCGCCGCATTCCTCCTCGCGTGGGGAGGTGCTCTGTTCGTCTTCTTGTCTCGCAAGTCATACCAGCACGGCAGCCAGGTCGACCACGACCCCTCTGCGACATCGCGCGGATCCGGCAAGCCGGTGACCCTGGACCAGATTATGACCGGCTTCTGGTCGCCCTACTCTCACTCAATAAGCTGGATCGAGGGGCCTAATGGAGAGGATGGCCTGCTGCTCGAGCAGGGTGCGCGAGGCAAGGACTATCTCGTGGTCGAGGACGTCAGGGCGGGCAAGCTTGACCGCCAGGTTTCTGCCGAGGTCGTCCAGAGTCGCACGCTCATGAAGAACCCTTGGATCAACGTTGGCGGCCGCCAAATGACGCCGTACGATGGTCGTCCGAGCAAGGACATGAAGAAGGTGCTCGTTTCGACCGATCGCAAGCACAACTGGCGCCACTCCTTCACCGCGCTGTACTGGATCTTCGACGTTGAGACCCAGACTGCTGAGCCTCTTGACCCCGAGCATTCTGACGCGCGTGTACAGCTTGCGACATGGAGTCCGCAGAGCAATGCCATCGTTTTCACTCGGGACAACAACTTGTTCTTGAGAAAGCTGGACGGTGACAAGAAGGTCACGCAAATCACAAAGGATGGTGGCCCCGAGTACTTTTACGGCATTCCCGACTGGGTCTACGAGGAGGAGGTCTTTGCCAGTAACAGCGCTACATGGTACTCTCAGGATGGCAAGTATGTCGCCTTCTTGCGCACCAACGAAACGGGTGTGCCCGAGTACCCACTGCAGTACTTCATGTCTAGACCCTCGGGCAAGGAAAAGCCCGCCGGCGAAGAGACCTACCCGGACGAGAAGCGCATCAAGTACCCTCGCGCCGGTAGCCACAACCCCGTCGTAGACCTGCTCTTTTACGACGTCGAGCGCGGCGACGTTTTCGCCGTGGACATTGAGGGTGGTTTTGCCGATGACGACAGACTCATCAACATGGTCCTCTGGGCGAACAACAAGGTCCTCATCAAGGAGACCAACCGCGTCAGCGACATTATGCGCGTGGTGCTTGTCGACGTCGTGGCTCGCACGGGCAAGACTGTGAACACCATTGACGTTGGCAAAATCGACGGCGGCTGGTTCGAGATTTCTCACGAAACTCAGTTTATCCCTGCAGACCCTGCCAACGGAAGACCGGACGATGGATACGTCGACACTGTGATCCACGATGATGGCGACCACATTGCCTACTTCTCGCCCATGGACAACCCCGAGCCTGTCTATCTCACGGGTGGCAACTGGGAAGTCGTCAACGGCCCCTCTGCTGTCGACCTGGCCAACAACTTGGTCTACTTCGTGTCTACCAAAGAGTCCTCGATCCAGCGTCACGTCTACAGCGTCCACCTCAACGGCTCCGATCTGAAGCCGTTCACGGACACCAACTTTGAGAGCTACTACGACATCTCCTTCTCCAGCGGCGCAGGCTTCGGTCTTCTCTCGTACCTCGGTCCTAAGATTCCTTGGCAAAAGGTCATCAGCACTCCAAGCAACCCCACCAGCTACGAGCATGTCGTCGAACAGAATACACAGCTCGCTGAAAACGCAAAGAAGTACGAGCTCCCCATCCTCAAATACGGAACCATTAAAGTCGACGATGTCGAGCTCAACTATGTCGAGCGCCGCCCTCCCCACTTCAGCGAGAAGAAGAAGTACCCGGTCCTCTTCCAGCAGTACTCCGGCCCCGGATCCCAATCCGTGAGCAAGAGGTTCTCCGTCGACTTCCAGTCCTACATCGCCTCCGCCCTCGGCTACGTCGTCGTCACGGTAGACGGCCGCGGCACCGGCTACATCGGCCGCAAGAACCGCGTCCTCATCCGCGAGAAGCTGGGCCACTGGGAGGCCGTTGACCAGATCGCCGCCGCCAAGCACTGGTCCGCCCTCAAGTACGTCGACTCGGCCCGCATCGCCATCTGGGGCTGGAGCTACGGCGGCTTCCAGACCCTCAAGACGCTCGAGATGGACGCCGGCCAGACGTTCAGCTACGGCATGGCCGTCGCCCCCGTCACGGACTGGCGCTTCTACGACTCCATCTACACGGAGCGATACATGCGCACCCCGCAGCTCAACCCGGACGGCTACGACCAGACGGCCATCTCCAACGTCTCCGCCCTCGCCGGCAACGTGCGCTGGCTGATGATGCACGGCGTCTCGGACGATAACGTGCACTACCAGAGCACCCTCACCCTCCTCGATAAGCTCAACCTCGAAGGCGTCGAGAACTACGACGTCCATGTTTTCCCGGATAGCGACCACGGTATTTACTTTCATAATGCGAATAAGATTGTCTACGATAGTGAGTCTACCCCACCCCAGTTGATAATTTGGGGAATTGAATCCATACTAACCGCCTCTAGAACTAAACAACTGGCTCATCAACGCCTTCAACGGAGAGTGGCTCAAGGTCGCCGACGCCAAGCCCATGATTGAGCCCAAGGTGAAGGAGAAGAGGTCGAGCGTAGCCAAGCTTGACGGTGTACCAAGTTCTTAATTTTTATCATCTGGTTTAGCTAAAGATGGAGTTTTTGGAGCGAAATAGTATTTAACGTCTTGTCATTCAATGAAACCGTTGTGTTGATAGAATCTACTCGGGCGCTTGCTCGTCAAAACGCGAATCTAAACCCGGATACATTGTGTTGATTATGATGCTGCTACAGCTTAATCCCTGCTTTCAGATGTGATGCCACTGACAGACTGAGGACTACCTATTGACAGATCAAGGGCCGAGCTTGGTAAGTTGGATTGGGCTGTCGGATTTTGACCCATAAGATCAGGAGAAGCGCAGACTGGCCGATTCACGTAAATACTTTGGCACACCATTCGTCATCAGAAAGAATCAACGTTAAAAGAACTATCATACAGTTTTGGGCTCGGGCGACAGGCTCGCGATATCCCTGAATCGGTCCAGCAATGGCAAGAGTCTAGCGTAGTGTGTGCACATAGGAAAAATAAGGCACCACCCCCATAGTTTCCCTTCGCGTAACACACTCCATCCGCCTGCCTAACATGCTCATCCATCCAGAGAGCAAACAAGATACGATTACAGGAAGCCCTTTGGTTATCTCAACGCCATCGTCCGCGTTCATTGAATTTTAAAGGCGCAGGTGAGTAGACCCCACCAGCCGCCAGATACCTCATGCCGCCGAAAATAATAGACCGGGGATAAAACTGTGTGGCCCTGTCATGTAGCCTCGCTTGAGGCACAAAAATCCAACCACGTTCTGGTGTCCTCATCTAGAATCCAAAGCCAGTAGGCTGGGGAGCGAAGCCGTTTGTCTGACCGTAAGGCGCAGGAGGAGCGCCCATACCGCCGGGACCGGCAGTGATCATGAGGCGGTTGCCGCCAAGGATGGGAGTGTTGGTCTCGTCTTTCTCCTGCT